GGTGGGTCTCTGTCTTCCCTGTGAGACACATTTGCACGATCCCACGCACAATTTAAGATTTTTCCACCCCCCTTCTTCCCCGCCCTCCCCGGGAGGTGTTAAAATGGGCGTTTTTTGTATTAAATGATAGATTTTATTATGCCATTTGCATCCTTATAAACTCCATCTCGAACCGTTCAAAAGTTATTTAGATGTCCTTTTTCCTCACCCTAATGTTGTTATTCTCCATAAGAACTAGAATGAAACTGAATATGTTTCATCATATTTTATTATTACATCAATAATGGAAATTATACATATATAAAGTGTCCACCTATAAAATTATATATATATATATGTTTGTAGATTGGCTTAGTAGATCTCCTAACATCCTTAGGAATTACTCCCGATTACATAATTAGTCATTCTGCTGGTGAACTTGGTTGTGCAGGAACAAACTATTTTATCAACATACTTTATCGGTTTGGCATGTGCTGAAGAAAAAATAATTCATAGCTCGATGGCGGTTGTCAATATCAATCATGAATATGTTAGAAATATATGTCCAGCGGACATTGAAATAGTGTGCTACAATAGCGAGAATAGCAACGTCGTATGTGGACCAAAAGAATCCATAAAAGAATTTATGAAAAAATTACAGGTAGAATTAAAAATAGCTCATATAAGTTAGTGGATTAAAAAAATATTTAAGTTTTTAAAGCATTGAAAAGTTAATTTTATGTCATAATCTGCTACAACTGCATGTGTTGCATTTTTTTATAATCAGGTCAACAATATTTATGTGAAAAAGATCAACTGCAACGTACCGTTTTACAGTTCTTACGTTGCATCCGCGGAAAGTCAGCTTTTACTTAATTTAAATAAAATAATACCATGTCCAAAAAAACGGAGTTCAAAGTGGATCAGCACTTCTATACCTCGCACCAAATGGTTTACTTCAACATCAAAGTTATCACCGGCAGACTATCATGCTAGAAGTATATTAAACACAGTCCTCTTTTCACAAACGACGGAACTAATTCCAAGTAACGCTGTGACCATCGAAATCGCACCAGACGATGTTCTACATTACGTTTTGACAGGCTCTTTA